ACAGCCTTTGTCACGTTCAGATCCAGCAGATGCTTCCTTACCTCAGCACTGATAGTCTCAATCCTTCCTGTTGTCTCTGGTTAAATGCCGCCCCCCCCCCCCCCGTCTCAGTTGAGGAACAACTACTGAATCTATTGTGCAGACTTCCTGGAATCTTGCAGAGTTCCTGCTTGTCATTTTCAGTTAACCTGTCTGCCCTTATTCATTACCTGGTTCTTCACTGGTTTCATCCTGATGTGGCTGTGAAGCCATTTGGACCTAGTCCCTGCTTTATTTGCCAAGTCTGTGTTCATTCCTAGCACATCTCTGCTCTCTGGTGTTCTGGTATTCCTGCAATTTCTCAATGCCCTTGTACTCAGTTGCTCTGCCACCTTACATCCCTGAGTAAACCATGGACTCCCTCCTTTGCAAGTCCTTTTGGACTGGGGACAAAGTTAGCTGCTGCTTCCTAACATTTATGGATGATGTTGTCCATCATGTCTTGTGCAGCCTTTCCTCTGAGCTCTGTTACCCATGATATTTCCATCAGAAATATTCTTATCTCCTCGTAATTTCCCTTTCGATATGCCAGCGTTTTGTTATATGGTACCTCGTGTTATCGCTTATTATTATTATTAACATCTTTATTGACAAAATTAATTACAATTTTGCCTAATCTGAGGATTTCGATTAAGTCTTATTAAATTCAGGATAATGCTGGTATTCACTGTCACGCAGGACAGAGAGGGTCATACATAAGACAATAGGTCTAAACTGTAGGCGGAAGTACATATATATCATGGGTTACAATCAATGTTTTAATGTATGTGAAAACAACTTTCTACTGTGCACTGCCACACAAGGGCAGGGATGGGTTCATAAGTGCTGCTTATCGCGACTTCCACCAGATATTCAACCATCAATACACCGTGTTCACTCATTCCCATACCCTGCGATGACTTCAGGGCCCATGGGAGCTTCCAAATGGGTTCTCCTTATGTCTTGACTCATTCAGAGTAAATTCCAGGTCAAGTCTAGCTGGTGCGTCATTACCTCTTATTCTTATGGGTCCCCTGACCTGCTCGCTTAAGAAGTTTTTTGTTGCTACGTCCAATAGTTTAGCTCTCCATGTTTCTGTGCTCCCATGTGAGTCCTGGGTCTCCCGGCCTATCTTTCCATGGCTGATGTCTTCCATGATTTGAGGTTGGGATCGATTCCTACAAGCGACAGAGGCTGCCCTTTCTATTATAGTAACAACTTCCTGTTATTTATGTTATATATTACAGTACTATCTTGGTCTTCATGTGTGTGTGTGTAGGGGGGGGAGGGATGTGTGTAGGGAAGGGGGGGAGGGAGTGATGTTGGGCAGAAAAGTGTATTCTGGTTGATTGTTGGTGATTTCTGGTGGTGGTGGTTGTGAGTTGAGTAGTGAGTACCCGAATGGTTGGTTGCCAAGAGTGGTTGGGGTGGTGGTTGGTTGGTTGGTTGGTTGGTTGGCAGAGCGCGCGCGCGCGTGCGTGTATTAACGGAGTATGAGCCACCAACGTCGTGTAAGCCAAATTCAGACATGGGGCGAATACTGAATGGAGAAGTGTTGACGAATCGGCAGAAATACTGATTATTTCACAACTCTCGGAGACGACGCTGCTCACCACCAGCACCACCACACCCTTGTGGTCAGTCTATAGCACTTGTACCAGAGACATGCACCAGGGGTAAAGCACCAATAGGCTCAGGAATCTGTACACCAGTTGATTGACAGTTGAGAGGCGGGACCAAAGAGCCAGAGCTCAACCCCCGCAAACACAACTAGGTGAGTACCAGGGGGATAAGTACCAGGAAATACATTGGTAATAAATAAAAATGTTACCATTAAAAAAGGATAAACAAAAGGATTAATTCATTCTGTAATTCATTGTGTCGGGGGGACAGGTAGCCAGAGTATATTCATACACGTTAGGCTTATATCAAGCACCCCCCCCCCTTAAGGATGCAACTCCACAATAAGCTAACTTAACTCCTGGGTACCTACTTGCTGCTAGGTGAACAGGCGCATTAGGTGAAGGGAAATGTACCCAACCATATGTGTCCCGCCCGAGATTCGAACCCGGAATTCTTGACTGTGAATCGAGAACGAACCCTACTGCATTACCGGGACTAGAAACAGTACAAAGGTTAACACGGGATTAGCGATAATAATAATAAGAGTAAAAAAAAATGGATTACGCATTAAAAATTGCAAAAAAAAAAGAATTAGGGGCATTAAAAATGGATTACACACATAAAAAAAGGGTTCGCCAATAACAAGGGTTAAAACATAAAAAAAAAGTCAAGAAATATAGCAGCGCCCTGACCCGACGCATCGAATTTAAAAGGTATAGACTCAGAAAGGGACATTTAATTACACCTCTCACCCTCCCTTTAACTCCCGCTTTGCGCAAATCTGACCTCCATTACAACAACAGCGATCCCAAACAAATCAAATGGAACCAGTTACCACAAAACCATTTTTACAGTTTAATGCCATCAAAATACGCTAAAATAGTTACCAATCGTAATGTAATATTTGGAGCTAAAATATCGGCTAATTTTCTCTCCAGCGAGTCCAATTATTTTTTTCCGTTTCGTTAATCATTATTGCACGAACAACACAACGTGTAATCATTCAAACGACAATATAAAATATAAATAAATAATTAAATTTTAACAAAACTATGAAATAATGGAACATTCGGAGGAAAACGAATCCTACGTTAATTAAATTGATAGATTCTAACCAAATAAAAATATTGTTGTAATCCTCTAACACTAAATATTAAATTGAGCACGTTTTGTTTGGATAAATAAATATCCTAAAATTCGGTTGAGGTAACGACGAACTTGTACCAACATATCCTTTTGCAATTAACCTAACATGAGGTGACATCTGGACCTGTTAATAGCCTCATAACGCTGGGTTAACAGCGCCTACGATGCTTAGTGATGGCTCGTACAGTGCTGCCAGGCACTATATGAGACCAGGAGGCATGGCAGGATGTGCAGAATACCGCCATTGAAAGGCAGAGGTGAAGAATACCCCCGTTGAAAACCAGAGGTGTAACAGGTACTCTGAGAGAGAACTCTATCAACATCAGCGGCCTGAGACTGTTCAACACGCTTCTACTACACATAAGGGGCATAACTAGCCGATCCCCTCAGTGTTCAAGAAAGAACTCCAGGAGGTAAGCACCTCCAAAGTATACCTGATCCACCAGGCTGTGATTCACACGTCAGGCTGCGAGCAGCCGCGTCCAACAGCCTGGTTGGGGGATCGGGCCGCAGAGCCCCAAATCATCGCAAGATAAGGTAGCTACGATTCTTTCTATAAATACCAGAGTTGACCGCAGGCACGTCACCGAGTCCAAGACGGCCTTCAGCGCTACCGAATAAATTGAAGTGTCAAAACTGACGGCTTTAACAAAAACAATACGACCAGGTGCAATTATAATTGCAATAATTAAATAATGAATACTGTATTATGATGAATATTGTAATAATAATGAATTATTATTACCGAGTGTTATCAATAATAATACAGTATTCAGTATTTAATTATTACATTGTAATTAAGGGGGTCCCGGTAGTACAGTCGGATTCGTTCTCGATTCACAATCCACAATTCCGGGTTCGAATCCCGGGCAGGACAGAAATGGTTAGGCGCGTTTTCAATCACCTCATGCCGCTGTCCACCTAGCAGTAAATAGGTACCCAGGAGTTAGTCAGCTTGTAGACAGCACCGCTCCTGTGTCAGGTAAGTTCACTACGGGCTCACCATAGCCCGTGCGACTTGCCCAGCTCCTGTGCCAGGTAAGTTACGGGCTCACCATAGCCCGTGCTACTTGGAACTTGTTCCGAGTAGCTGAATCTATAACAACAGCAACAGCTTCTTGTGGGGTTACATCCTGGGCGGGGTCAGTAATTCTATCGGAGGGGGGGGGGGGGTTTGAATTGCACATTGCAGTTTTTGAATGTGAAATTCAAAAACTATTTCAGTGTGCCCGAGAATTCCATCTATAGTAAAATCAAAACCTTTAAAAAACCCCACTCAGCATCCACTTTTTATATTTTAAATTAACGATTTAAAATACAATAACGTTATAACTTGAGAATAATCTCCCTTGACGACAAAGGTTCATTCACCAGTTTACATGTAGACTATTACTGGAACCGTAATAGTCTTTCAGATCCTCACAAATATCAAGATAACTATCCAGCTGGTTGGAAGGGGGGGGGGGGAGGATGTGGTTTCTCGTGATCGCGTATTTGCTGTGAAAACTGGCCTATAGTACACTCTATATGTAAAAGTGTTGAATTTGACAAATTTATATACTTAGAACACAAAACAAAAATAAATATGGCAAAATCAACAAAAAATTATAAAAGGGATGTGTGTATATATCAAGAGGTACACACCCACTTCTGTGGGTGTGTACCTCTCTATATATATAGAGTACATATATATATATATATATATATATATATATATATATATATATATATATATATATATATATATATATATATATATATATATATATATATATATATATATATATATATATATAACGTGATTTAAAGTGGGGGGGGGTTTCAGATATAATTACTAATTAGCTTAGCTCATTTATTATGCACCCCATAACTATGCTATCACATACTGGGTCTCAGGAACATAACCTCCACGATAACAAACACAAATAATCAAATTGTGTACATATATGCCACTGGATCATGGTAGTCGCCAGCAACCGCAACTTGTCCATCACCACAGCATCTCAAAAGCCTCCGCTCCACTGCTCAAATATGCAAATTACGCGTCTTACAAAGGCCGTCCGCAATTCGAACTATAAGGAAAAATGCTAATTTGATGCACCACACACACACACACTGGCACTGAATGCTAAATTTCCTACAAATGCACATTTACTCATTCTTGGTGCGATTTCGTGTATAGTTTTCCTTATCCACGTGTGGCAATGGCTTACCTGTCCGTGAAGGGCGTGTATGACAGCAGCACGAGTAGAACTATAAGCACTAATGTACAACTAGGAGTTATCTCACGACGAGACACAGTATATAGTCCCCACAGATCCCTGAGCACTGGATGTCCACAACAAACTGCCGGGCCAAGAGATGAACAGGTGACTGGAGCGGCAGCGCGTCTGGGAAAACATGTCATACAGGAAGGAAGGAAGGAATATATATATATATTCCTGACGTAGGATTCTCCAAACTCTCACAAAACATTTTTGTTAAAACGCTGAATTGTTTGTTTGAGTTTGTTATGGTATACTGTTGTCGCAAACAGCCAGCCTGTTAGATTTATGGAGGTCCCTCAGGGCCCACGCGATCACTCACCACCTACCACCAGCCTTAACCCGACTGATTAAGCATATCTACATCCAGGATATATATGCCAAGGTGTCTTGTAATATGATTTTTTTCTTTTGAATTTTATAGCTCAAAGATATACAATGAATGCGGTAGGCAGTGTCAAGCACGTCAACGGGATCCTTCCTCAATCCTGCCTGTCAGACTATCATCCTGTAAGGGACTCCATCACTAGTAAATCGTTTTTTGCAATAAGATCCTCTTAGGCGAGGCTACACGCAAGGTCACCCATCTTATTACTGGCCAGACCCCATGATGCTTAACCTGACTTGCCACGTGACTTGCACCACGCCCATGTTAACAAAATACACATTACATAAAGGAACTCAGACTCCAGTTTAATTGACAACCGCCCAGTCCAATATGCGAATGTAGGCAGAATACTACGGGACTCAAGATCAATAAAACAAGTCTAATAATGCACGTAAAGGATAGAATAAATAAAGCAAAAAAAACCAGCCTTAAGAAAACTGAAGATTTCGAGGCCCACAAATAGACAGCTTTACCTATATACGTCTCTAGTCCGGCCACATCTAGAATATCCTCCAGATCCACTACATACATTAAAGGAAATCTGTAAAAACTACAAGCAGTAGAAAATAAGGCGCTCAGAAGAGCAGCAAAACACCGTCCATCATATGATCAGACAACCCAAGAGCTCCAGGAACTCCTGAACACACAACCACTAAACATCAGACTACAGCACCAAGCCTCGATGAAAAACAAACTCCACAATACGTAATTTTTAGCTGAAATACTGATCAGAAACCCCCTTTAAAATAAATAACAAAAAGTAATAGATAAATGATCAATAATAACAAAATAAAGAACCCAAAACAGAGCATAAAACATGCGTGAAAGCATCTGAATATGTATATGTGAATGCAACACAGTATTCATCAATAGACGTCCAAATATATGTTTAAATACACGTGAAGACCCTCACACAATCACCGCTGCTTGACAGGAGAGAGCAGCAAGCTTAGCTCAGCTGCCAACACCCACGCATGGTGTCAGCAAGGCGGACAGTCCGCCTGCTATCATAACTCATACTATATTTCTCGTTTCAAAACTTTTCCCATCGCCTGTGTCTCTCCATCCTCTTCTCCCCATCCCACCCTAGAACAAAATTTCGTACGACTAACGAAAACAAAATTGTAACTTGCTTAGCTAAATGAATTGTGGGGTTCAGTCCCTGAGCCCATTATGTGCCTCTGTAACCCTTTCCACTACCGCCCACAAGATGCATAATAAATGAACTAAACTAAAACTAACGAAAATAACGCTATGCTCCAGAGCATAGATTTTACTGCCCAAAAGGCCCTGGCGAGCGCTTACTACAGGCCTGTAAGCTACAGCTTGGTTGTTTGAAGGTGATTATGCAGGTTGCTCTGTTGGCTAACTGCCCTTGAGACTCAACAGAGATTTGGAGATTCTGAAACCGATTGTTAGAGATTCAGGTAGTTTAAGTGTTTGTGAAGTTTTCTGTAGTTTTATCATGTTGGTTCTCCGGTGAAGGGTTTGTTGAGAACAGATGTGTGTGTTTCAGGGAAGGGAGATGACCGGGAGGGAGCAATAAAGAGGAGGAGAGACACGAGAATAAAGAGGGGGGGGGACACAGAGAGGAGGAGAGAGACACAAGAACTAGAGGGGGGGGCATAGTCTAGGAGACAGAGAAGCTTTATCACATAAATGACTAATCTTGAGGCTAATGTTCCGCGATATCCGGGCCATAGTTCCCAGAAATAAGATCATCTGATTCGGATTATAAGAACATCTGAACATCTGACGAGGGTTCGAACCCTCGTCACGGCCCATGTGGATTTGTTCAAGAACATCTGATCATTCATTAGAAGTTTGGGCATCCGTTGGGCATCCGTTGGGCAGCATAATCATAACGACGGCTATGATGGCTGCCATGGGAGGCGAGCTGACACACACACACATAAACGCATGCACCTAGAAGCTTTGTACAGAACATTATTTAACATTATCTAATTGATAAAGTACATGCCCCGAAAATGTTGTCTAAATGATAAACACTTGCTCATGTAATGGGTCTTTCCTTCACCTTCAATAATAATAATGCTAATAATAATAACAATAACAATATTATTATTACCGATGCACTCCTTCCTGTGCCAATACTCATACAATAATACACAAATCTTTACACAAGTTCTAACATAGCTCACTTAAAGCCAAACAACAATTACACTATATATTGCGTATATAACCTTCAATAAAGCCAGCATTTCAGGTGAGATCTAGCCAGGTAAAATGGTGGTTAAGAGCCCCACATTAAACTGGGAGAGTTATGAGGGAAGAGTGTGCAAGGGAAGGCAAGATCTTACCCCAGTGGCTAGTTGTTGAGGTGCTAAATATATTGTGGAATATACAGTACCTGAGAGAGAGGGACGCACCTGTGCCACCTCAAGAGAAATGTGTTCAGTCTTGATTTATGTATGAAGAAATGTATATATGCTTATAAATATATATATATTATATTCAATTACTATCAACAGTGAGAAGAAACATAAGAAATATTGAGAAAATTTGCATTAGAATTATTTATACAGTATATATATATATATATATACAGCTGTATATATATATATATATCTGGAGACCGTTCAGGCTTGTTCGCATATATATATATTATATATATGTAATATAAAATGTAATACCATTTTTTTTGTTGCATTTGGATATACAGTATATAAAACATCATTTTCATATTCATTTAATGATTTATTTCAGTGCTAGACATATTTCAATATTCATTTTATATACATCATATTTGTTGATATACAATAGGATAAACGTTTTTTTCAGTACTGTACACTAATATATTTTCTGCCTAGTATGGAAAGCAATTCATTATATAATATATGTTGCCCGAAATGCTATATATGTGTTACTGGCTTTACAAGAATGTAAAAACATCAATGCTATATACTCTCATAAACCCAATGTCCCTTCTTGTATGCAGTATATATAAATAAATACATAAATAAATAAATAAATAAATAAATAAATGTTAAATTATTTTGTTCTGTAATCATATTTTCAATTTGTAAACTTAATAAATAAATATAAAAGAGCTGAAGAAATATAATGTTAATAAGTTTAATATAATATAATATGAATGACTACATAAAACAACAAAGATCTATGAACATTTTTAGAAGATAAATAAGTACAGTACAAAGTTCATAATCATCCTAAAACCATACTCATATGTACATTGTTCCCATTTACAATATCTTAATGGAGAGAGGGAAAAAATATATGTATATATATATGTAATTACCTATGTATATGTATGTATGTGTGTGTGTGTATTTATATTTATAAAATAACACTAGAAGGGTACCTGGCAGTGTCAGGGTGTCTCTGTCTGTCTGTCTGTCTCTCTCTCTCCTTTTCTTTCTCACTCTCTTCATTAACACACGCTCCATAATGTCTAAGGACAACAATCATATCATCAAAGTTTATTTAAGGTTCAATGGTTTAGGTATTATGATTATATTTGTTTTTAATTTTGGCATGATCAGTGTATAAAGTTTTATGATATGGCAAAAAAAAAAAAAGTTTACATATGTCGACAGAAAAACAGACATTATCGTTTACTGAAATATATACCTGTGTACTAGAAGGGGGTACCAGGTAGTGCCCAGGTCAGTATCTCTCTCTCCTACTCTGTCACTCTCCCTCTTTTCTTCTCCTGCTCTTTCACACTCTCTTTCTCTCTTTTTTTTCTCTTTATGCCTGTGTAGACCTAATGCTTGTGTTGATCCAATGCCCATGTTGGTGCCTGTGTTGACCCAGCGCTTGGGTAGACACCATGTGTAAACTCTCTGAGCAAGAAATATTATCTTTCTGTCTGTCTGTATCTTTCTGGGGGCCCTTTGGCTCAGAGGGAACCTGCCTCTCCTAGCTGTGGTGGATGAGCTGGGGCCTTGTAGTTTGGTGGGAACCCGCCTCTCCCAACCATTGTAAGTAGGTTGGGCCATTGCTCCTGACATCTACCTCACCTCCCTCCTACTCCCCCCATCCTGCAGCTAACAGTCCAGTATTACAGCTAATTACACAAATTTTATGGACATGAGTGCATATTGTTTTATAGGATACTAAGAGGAAAACAAAAAATAATAATTACGAGGGCAAGAAGTCATTGGGTTCCAATTAGCACTGCATCAAATGGCACTCATTTCACTTAGGCCAACCTTGATCCAACCATGTTGGCCGCCACAAACCCCATAGGAATCAGTGTGCAAAGCTGGGTGAGGTTAGCCTTCAAATGTCTGGCCTCCAACCTTGAATGAACAGACAGATGGATAGACAGACATTCTAATTTATAGATCTAAATACTGTAATGTATATATAATATACATACAGCACTATACATACATATACTGTATATGTACATACATGCACAGTATTTACAAAACACTTTTACATCATTTCATATGCTCTTTTTGCATGTCTGCAGATAACAAGTAAATCAATAAACTATTTTAAATAAATACCTGCATTTCAATTGAGTTAACTTCAGTTTAAATATTATTACAGGGTATATGAAAATTTTTTGATGATATTAAATATATATTGACAAGATAGGAATTGTTACTGTAATAATAAAGTAACAATAACGCTAATACAATATTAATAATAATAATAATAATATTAATATATATTTATTTTAATTTATAATCTACCAAGATTTGTATAGTATAAGTTCTTCAACATAACACTGTTCAAATGCATATTATCTTCATTAAGGAAGAGTCTGATTCCTTGGAAAAAATCTACTTTAAATATAGATAATATGAATATAGCAACATTATAGAAAGGAGAACTTTTGCTTCCACGTAAATTCCCTTCAAACAAAATAACACCTAATTTATGTTGAGGTAGGTTAAAGATTTAAAAGTTGATTTAGCAGTAAAATGGCATGTACTTTGTCTTGATTCCGTCTTGCTTCTCAGTTGTACAAATAAGACACAGACAAAATATACTCTGGTTTGGTATATAAGTTAAATAAAGACACAGGACAAAATATACTCTGGTTTGGTATATAAGTTAGTTACTATGATTGGACAGGTTCTCAATAGACAGTCAAGTGCTACTCTGTCATGGAAACACAAAATATGGTTAAATTTACAACTTTGTTAACCAAATTTAAATACTGTAAAAATTTAACATCATCCTGTTGTTAGTTACAAGTAGAATGAATGTACATTTGTCTCTAATCTATTTTATAAAAATTATTATATTTATCTTTGCTCCTTAATAAATACTTGAAGATGACAGCACAGGAAACAGATATAACTCTTCTCCAATCTGAAGGTGATCAATATTATACATAACTGGATACCAGTTTTAAAAATTATTATATATAAATATACAGCCTGTGATGCATCTACACATCAAACGCTTGCTTCTATGACAGTTCTAATAATAATAATAATAATAATTTATACAGTATTTACAAAATATTAGGATACAATATTATAACAATTATTATCAAGTAAATGACCACCTTTGGACGAGACAGTGTGGAGGCTTAACTACATTATCTTCTTAACAAATTATTTTTTGCACAAATTTCTTTTGCTTGGCCACATGAGAAGGGTGTATTATAAGCTGTGTCTAATGATAGTTCTTAATTAAAATAGTTAACAACAGTTATTAGTACTGTACTACATTAATTAACAAAAAATATCATATATTTTTTTTATCTTAGCCAATTTTTTTTCTAGTAAAGAAAGCCTTATTCTGCATGGTAATACCTACATAACTGTTAATCGAATACAGGACAGTATTTTATTTCGCTGAAAAATAGGCACTGAATGTAATGAAATACCTATTTCTGGTAGAGCCCTAATAGTTCCCTGAAGCTAGCTCGCTGAGATAGCTTCCCATTATTGAGTCACATCAGTCCTAGGAGTCCTTTTGTTTTACCGGAGACCAGAGCCAGAATCTGGTCCCCACACAGAGGCAGAGAGAGCTCGGGATTGTTATGATCACCCACACCAAGAAAGTATCTAGAAAGTAGATGAAGCAATACAGACAACTGCACAATTCACAAAAAGGAAGCACGAATACAGCCAACAGATTCTGCAAATGATTCATTCAAAGCAAAAATAGTTCACTTGAAACTAGGTGCAAACCTCTTAGTGCACAAAGGTGCCAAAAGATAGCATCCCAACTTTCAGCAAAGTGGTGAACAGTTAGAACACAACAAATGATACATTTTCAGTCAGACAAACCAACCACCAAAGGACTCCTCTGAAAGCCAACCAACTCATTCTCTACCAAACAAGTAGGAGAAGGCTGCCAATGAAGAAACCACCCACCAGGGTTGAAAGAACAGAACCCACACATCCAGAGGAGAGCATGAAGCTCCCCTACTCTGCAACTGTAAGTGACAGCCAACAAAAACAACGCCCTAAAAACAAATTTACCTGAATTTACCTGAGGGCCACCAACACTATGAGTGCTTAGGTAATGATCGCTCTAAACACATGCAGCTTATAATGCAGATTATCCAAGCTACAAAGCAAGTAAGTTTTGTAAGCACATGTTCATGATCAAATACAGTATTAAATGTTAGGAATGATACACAAGCATATGGCCTTGCAGGGCTAAGTCCAAAAAATAACCGTCACTTGTCTTTGAAAAGAAGAGGGCCTCACTATGACAGGGCAACTCAGGAAAGTCAGCCGAGGCTGACATCAATGATTGGACTGGCTGGTAGCTAGCTGGAAGCCGGGAACTCCAGGACAAAATCTTTGGACCGCTTTGTGAACTAGGAGGTTTGACCTCAGTTTCAAGTGAACCATTCACCATTCACTTTGAATGAATCATTTGCAAAGTTTGTTAGTTGCTTCGATGATTTGTTTTGTTTATAATGTAGTTGTCTGTATTTCTTCTTTGTTCTATGATTTCTTAGTGTGGGTGACCACATCAATACCTAGTTTATTTTGAATTTGTGAGGGGAACTAGGTTCTGGCTCCTAGGACTGATGTAACTCAATAATGGGAAGTTATCTCGGCACCAGATCCATTTGATTACATATATTTCAAAGTACTGTACCGTACAGTACTGTACTTTGAAAATGAGACCTTGGGATAGGAAAATATGCAAATACAAAGTCTCCTTCTTTAAACTTCCTTACCTTAGAGTGCTTATCAAAGTGTGCTTTCATTTTACTTTGGGAGATCAACAAATTAGCGCAAGCAAACTTATGAACTTGGTCAAGTTTATGGCTCAGGTTTTTAAGAAACTGAGAGACATTAATGGAATCATTGAAGGTGTTTGAAGAAGCTGCATCAGCTAGCTACATGGAGCCAACACAAGGGGCTCCCTCCATAACAAATTTTCTAAGCAACTTAACATAAGAAATGTACAGCACAACCAGACATAATCCTCCATCACTGTCTTCACCAACAAAGTCAATTATATATATATATATATATATATATATATATATATATATATATATATATATATATATATATATATATATATATATATATATATATATATATATATATATATATATATATATATATATATATATATATATATATATATATATATATATATATATATATATATATATATATATATATATATATATATATATATATATATATATATATATATATATATATATATATATATATATATATATATATATATATATATGTATAGAACAATAGTATTAGTTCTATACATATATATATATTATATATATATATGTATAGAACAATATGTATAGTTCTATACAATGTATAGAACTAGGTAAGCCCTACTCAGGTACGCTCTAAATATGATTGTTATGATTTCAAGGATACAAGTAGTAATTCACAATAATTCTTATTGAGCAAAATCACCATTTCATAGGTCAATATCAACAATGGCACTACTTACATAATTTTTCAATGCATTGTTAAGTATGTTGCTTCCACATTATATTATAAATTCTTTACTTATAGTTTTTGTGTCAAAACAACATTACTAAGATTCAATATTTCTCATCAGAAAATGTCTCTCACTACTAAATCCTATATAGCTTTAGTAATGTTCATACATAAATTTCTAGAACTTACATTTATTAATCTTAAATGCCATTAAAACACCTGAAAATAATGAACTTACTGTATTACACAAACACTGACTGGACATTGTTACAATTTATATTTCACTCAACAGCACAGTATAAAATTTTCCTCTTCTGTTTAACTACTAATTTTTTAATTGACTATGGTATGCTGGTGTCCAGTGAGGGTGCGTCCGTGAATATGCACTATTATTTGAGTAATTACTATTTGTGTCAATAAATTCCCGCACTGTCTGTGCAGGATCACGAATATCCCACAATTCATGAATATCTCTTAGGTTATGTGCATTTTTCATATCTTTAACTTCTTGACATTTTTCTTGATCTTTTGTATCTTTTTTCTCAGGCATATGCTTTATCCAGGAAGGAGGGTCACAGGATATGTCTCGTTGCTCATGATCAGAGTGGCAATGGTGATGCTCTTTCACCTCATGCAACACACACATTTCAAGGTCTTCAGGTTCTCTTTTCTCCACACTATCATTTGTATTGGATAAACCTGTATGCTGTTCCTGAAAACGAGAAATTTGCTTTGAAGGTGCACAGCGTTTTCGATTGCTAACAACACGAGTGTAAGGGCGTCCATTATAAATACTGCTCTCAAAGTTATTCATTGTTGAGTTATGGGTAGCATGACAAAGCCTGTTTCCTAATGACTGATAGGAGTTTGATATCAAAGTTCCTGTACAGCTACTCTGATTGGGGCTCACTATATTTGATGTTATTGTTGGGCAAGAACCACAGAAGTTAACACTGATGGATATTGGATGTAAAACTGGGGATATATTTGACAATCCTTCCATGACAGGAGCAATAAGCGCACTGTCAATGGTTAAAGGTACATAAAATCTCCCACTTTGATTTAGGGCAAAAATTGGAACAGAATTCCCAGAAGAGACATCTACACTTTGTTGATGAGGTGAACCTCTGTCTCCTTGAATTTCACACTTTGGAGTGAGTGTTGAAGATCTTTGATTTTTTTCTAGCATTGGGCTGCTGCGTTCATCTAGTAATTTACTTGTGTCATGAGAAAATCCATCTTGGCATGAGGTTAATCGTAAAAGACTAACAGGTCCTGTGGGAGTGCCTCGGTCCTTTTCACAGTCCGTATAATTTCCACAAGATGATTCAGAGTCCCTTCGTTTCTTCCTCACTTGATGCGATTGTTCAAGATCAGCACTGAATCTGTGCTTCATATTGGATTTGAACTTGTACAGTCGACTAATGTTATTATTATCATCCCCACTTGAGGAATTATTTGAGCTCAGTCCAGAAGAATAGCCTCCACATCTGCGGTCACTGCTGCTGCCAGGTCCTGAATGTTGCTGCAAGATCTCTCGAAGCTGACTTCCCATTCCCGAGTTGGTTTCTGAGGATGTCCCTGCAGATTTCTCTTCTCGCTCATCAGCACCAGGACGCTCTTCAGACCGATAAGCCATTTCTTCTGTGAAAAACATTCACTTTAGTCACACATACTAGAAATTAACAACAAAAACAATAATTTATATGAAGTTCAAGTGCACTTTCCAGTACACAGGCAATTTGAAAATAAATATTTGAAAATACACTGAGTTCCCAAACTCAAGAATGGGCTGCATTCTGAAAAAGTGCATGTAAGTTGGCCATTTGTAACTTGGATCCATATTTTCCATAAGCCAATGCTAAAAATGGGGGATGCTTTCTCCCAGACTCCCCCAAAAAATCAACAGTATACTACCAATTTTGTCAATGTTAGATTGTTGTTTTTATGGAAGGTTAGCAAAGTCCTAAGATCAAATCAATTAAATTTTGGTCAATTGTCTAATTTTTTATGGGGATTTCTTTCTGTTGCTAACACACTTCATTTTTTCACAGGTTTGTGGGACTATGCTAATTGTAAACATGCCAAAGGCATGCAAATGGAGTGATGAGTATGTCACATATAGCTTCACTGCACTCTTGGATTATGGATGAGGTCTTACCAGGTGCAATGAATGACATCATTATTTTCAGCTTGAATTTGAAGCCTTTTAAACTTTGAGAACACCGGGCACAGCATCCAGCAGATCAAGAACAGACTCTCAAAGCCTTGAAGGCCATGTAGCTAGATATGATCAGAAAAGTACAAGACCCCAAATTGGATTGAAACCACCACAGCAGCCCTTCTTCATGCTTCACATTCAGCTCTGGAAAAACTGAGTCAAGCCTTGTACCATTTGTATGGTGGAACTAGCTAGTTCTGGTAACAAAGGCAGCTAAGAAGATCAAGGAAGTCTCTGTCAAATGATGTCATTGCAGGTAGAATTGCAGATATGGTCAACCACATCTTAGACCACATTTGCCAGACGAATAAAGGTAGTCCCACCCACATCAGCCTACAGTTGGATGAATCAATTGATGTTTCTAACATGAGCCAAATGACTGTATATCCAGTACATTTATAGATGGTAAAATTAAATAAGATGTCCTCTTTAGCAAGGCTTTGCAAACAACAATGAAGGCAGCTGATATATTTGGTCTTAGATGACTTTTTTTCTTAGAGAAGCATCAGATCAAGTGGGTGAGGGTACTCACCTAGTTGTGCTTGCGAGGATTGAGCTCTGGCTCTTTGGTCTCGCCTCTCAACCGTCAATCTACTGGTGTACAGATTCCTGAGCAATATCACATCTACATTTGAAACTGTGTATGGAGTCAGCCTCCATCACATCACTTCCATTCCATTTATTAACTACTCTGACACTGAAGTTCTTTCTAATGTCTCTGTGTCTCATTTTGGTACTCAGTTTCCACCTGTGTCCCCTTGTGTGAGTACCGCCGGTGCTAAATAATAGGTCTACATGATGGTACCCCCAACCATAATAGGGTGTGGGTCTAGCTTCACTGCTTTGACAAAAGCAAGAGTACTAGATATCATCAGGAACCACTGTGTTCTCCATCACCATGATTTGGGAGCAAAAACATTATTGCCTCACCTTAAAGTCTGTGACAAACTCGTATCCCCAAATTGTTCATTTGTACTGGTTTTCAACATTTAACACTGTTGTTTCTATATATTTTCAATCACCGAATGTCTTGTAAATACTGACGGAAATTCTAAATTCAAGAGTTAAACACACTTCACAAGGGTCCCTACATTACAGTGAGGAAGTAGGGGGAACATTAAATCCTTCTCTTCTGCTCAGAAGTGAGGTGGCTCTCACATGGGCCACCTTAACATATGAATAGTTATATATGAACGGGTATATACAAATGAGTTTGAGCGGATATAAATATGAGGGTCCAGTATGAGGGGTCCTGGTAGTACAATGAGGGTCCCGGTAGTACAGTCAGGTTCGTTCTCGGCTCACAATAAAGAATTCCGGGTTCAAATACCAGGCGGGACAGAAATGGTTGGGTGCATTTCCTCTCCCCTAATGGCCTATTCACCTAGCAGTAGGTGGGTACTCATGAGTTAGTCAGCTTGTTGGGGGGTTGAATCCTGGGCGAGGTCAGTAATTCAACCTGGGGGAGGGGGCCTCGATAAAAACCTATTGTGTATGAATATACTGTACTGTACTGTACTTTGGCTGCCTGTCCCCCAACATAATAAATTGTATTTCATTACAACGATACAGAAAACTATATGAACATAATCGGTATACAGTACATATCTTGTAATTAAAACAGAATTTTATACCATGACGATTACCGCATTGACATATTTACAACAATAACCTAACATTTACAACAATAACCACATTCACTTCATAGTAAATAATAATAATGAAATGACAACAGGGTTTTTTCATGGGTCAAGCAAACTCCATTACAACCATAGAGCTATGATATCAATATTAGCATCACTGGAATAAAAACTAAATTGTAATAGAGTTAAAAATCAACATATGATAATAACCACACTTTAATGGTTAAAGTATACAGTATTGGAATACAGTACTATATATATCATTGGTTTTAATGGTAAGATTACTGAAGACAATGAGTCACAATAATGTAGCTGAAGAAACAGTATGATGACCAAACCACACGTCAAAAGATGAAGAAACAGCATTTCGATCCGTCCTGGACCATTATCAAGTCATATGTCTTGACATGCGACTTGATAATGGTCGAGGATGGACCGAAATATCGTCGTTTCTCCATCTTATGATGTGTGGTTTGGTCATCAAGATTACTGAACTTTGTTTAGTAATCTTACAATGTTATATTCAAATGGATTTAGTACCCATGGTGAGGATTCCTCTTGCATAAAATACATGATATTGCAAAGTGCACAATGCACATTAACAAAGCCCAGCCTGTGCTAAAATTCCACTTAAATTGCTTGAGGCTCATGAATTACCTGAGGCAAGAGTGTCCTTACTCTCGGAAGCATGGCTCGGGCCATTACCATTGCCATCACTGGAAGATCCTGTAGATGAGCTGTTTGCATGGTACCCACTAGAGGTAGACGAACTGGCCCCACTCTGTCTTGTAACATACCCTTCACCTGTAAAAACCATTTCAATTTACTTAGAGAACTTCATAAAATAATTAGAAGTTAATAATTAGAGTAACTTTATATGATGGAGATAAATCAAAAGTGTTGAAAACAATTATACAATAATACAACAGTGTAATATACTAGTATGTATACAGTACTGTATTTCCTTGTTATGTGCCTTGGAGAGCAAAACATCATATGATTATAGACTACTGTATACAAGTACTACTCCACAATTTCAAATGACACTATTTGCTCCAATTTTATCATTAAGCGCAACAATCACAGTAGTTATGCACATGACATCAGTAACATGGATGAGTAGATAATTTTAGTTGAATAACAAAATAACACCCGCTACTCACTGGTGAGGATCTTCTCGCAGTGTTTAGTGAGGTGATTCATGAGTCTCACGCAGAGCGAGTCCCCGGTGAAGAAACCTTCAGACTCTACCAGGAACTGCATTGTTTCTGACATACATTCTTGATACCCAAGATGGAACTGTTCAAGCTGATTTCCTGTCCGTTCTTGTTTTGCCGTCACCTCACAATTTTCTGTTACAAATATTACCAATATTATTTTTGCCAGTCTAATAATCTGTAACATTGTAGTTACGTAACATAAGTACAAAACAAACATTAACAATAATGTATAGTAAAGCAAAATAATGTATAGTACATCTGTTAATTTTAAGTACAATGGCACCTCTAAAATTAGGACCATTTCATGAAATAGAGATTTTGGCTATTTATCACCAAATTTTTTGGATTTATCTTTATAGCAAATGATGCAATATAATGTATTTTATGTGCATGTAAATAATAACGACAGACTCAAATATTAAAAAAAAATACACAATTTATTTGTAAATTTATCTTGCTGGGGGGGGGGAACCTCTAGCGGCTCCCTAAAGCTACCTCGCTGAAGTATCTCAACATTATTGCGTCACATCAGACATAGGAGTCCAGTTGGCCTACTGAAACTAGAGCCAGATCCTTGTCCCTAGTACAGAATCACAGAGGCTGGGGATTATTACATTCACTCACACCGAGACAGCATCCAGAAAGTAGGCAATTCAATACAGAGAGTTGCATTGTTCACAAAGATGTAACACCAAAACAGACAACACACTCTGCAAATGATTCATACAAGGTGAAATTGCTCATTTGAAACCAGGTTTGAAACCCCTTAGTACACAAGGCTGCCAACTGATGGCATCCTGGCCTCCCACTAGCTACCTGCCAGTCCTATTGCTGATGCTGGCTTCAGCTGGCATTCCATAATTGCCCTGTCTAATCAAGTCTCGTTTCTTTTTTAAGATAAGTGATGGCCATCATTTTGGACTTTGTTTTGTGTGGGTCTTTTGCGTGTGTATCGTTCCTAATGTTTAGTACTTGCTCACAAGCATGAGTTTACAAGTCTTCTTTTTGCATGGATTTAGTATAATCTGTGCTATGAGCTGCATATGCTGACAGAGTGACTTTTCTGGTGTGTTTGGGAGAGTTTGCCCCTGAAAGATCAGGCCAATGGGGTAAAGAGCTTTGCACTGGGTAGCGTAAAAGTCATTGACTCCTGTACGGAACCCTATGGTTGGGAGCATTCTGTTTGTTTTGATCTAGGACACACTAATGTATGCACTCATTTTTATATGGCCCTCCATTAATGCCCTTCATAGCCATGCTTATCCTTGCAGACTGCAGTTGGTGTCAGTTCTTCCAGAGTGTGTCCTTGTGTCTGGGTATCCTGCTTGAGTAGTCCCCTTCAGGGCCTGGCAACTTCCCTGCAAGTCTGCATTGCAACTCATAATGGATCGACCAGTCAACCCTTCACTCGCTATGAGCAAGTTTGAGGGATATCCGTGAGCACTGACATATGTCGTCGGTCATTTATTCTCCCTTCAAATGCCGCCTATTGGTTGGACATTACCCTCTGCCAAGAAACTTGTGATCTTTTAGTTTTCTTTATTTTTGTAATGATGAGGCTCCACAGCAGCATGAAGCCATTTCGAGTTCCTTTGCCCATTTGTGAGGCTTGGTTTCTAAGTAGTTGCTACAGAGATTTTGAATCTACAGCATTTTGACTTTGACCCCTTATTAAGAATGCATATACTGTATATCATGTCTGTCTTCAGAAACAAGAATGCTATTACATGTATTTGATTGTAAGCTGTTTAATGCTATTAGTGAGGAAAGAGAGACTGAAATAGACAGTCAATTTTAGCATTTTCAATAATTGTAAGTGCTACCAGTTCAACTTGCAAGGTGGATGTTCAGTTTCTCACTCTTATATTCTTTTCAAATGTGCTTCCATCAGTCTAATGAACAATAACAGCATTTCTTGCCCTGCCTATACCGTAACTGAATTGAGTGATCAGTCTGTGACCCGATGGAATGGACCCAACCACCGAACCTGGGTGGCTTAGCAACTGCTGGTCAGGAAGCCCCCCAACCCAGAGTCAAGGCTTCCATGAACACATCAAGTGATTGGGGAGCATGGTACCATGGAAATGAACCCTGAAAAGCCCAAAGAGAGAGCCAGTGAACCAAGAGCTGGTAGAGGTCAGACGGGGCCGAAATCTGCCAGTCCTGGTAGTGGCAGAACAGGTGGAACCAGAGAAACCAGTACAACACCCAAAGATAAACAAAGCTCAGCAGGAAAAAAACACACTGGCAAAGTTTAGGTTTGCTGCACAACTGCTCGATCAATCGATGAGCTGCCAAAGGCAACCTGATACCCAATACCTGATGGCAACAAAGCTGTGGGCATAGCAAAGCTGCTGAAGGCAGGGACAGAGTCACCACCCCCACTGGAAAGAGTGCAAAATAAGAGCAGAGCTCCTGTTGCAAGAAGCTCACTAACCCTATAATAAAAAATGAGGGCCACCAAGAAGACAGCCAGAAAAGAATGACCAGAACCAAAGGGGAAGCACAGACAATCTGAAAGGTTTCATTACTGTACATTCAACACTGACATTTTTCACATACATTATGGTACACTATTACAGTATTACTCTTAAAGTTATGATAACTTTCATATACTATATACAAATGCAAATATATATTATCCTTATATGATTTCTTCTTCGCAAGTAATGTAAAGATATGGAATGCTGGAAGTGAAAGTTGACGTGTAAGGTTGTACAGTATTTCCAAAATCAGCAGATTTAAGGTCTGTTGCCAACACTTTGCCCATCAAATGAACCTACATACATGTTTTGAGGCATTTTGAATGATTTGACAGAATGCCCACAAGTTTTGAAAAGTTCCTACTTATTGATTTACCTGAGGGGCCACTAACACTAGTGACCTTGACGAGGACAGGAAGCCAGCTGCTTGTCGAAGGTCCCCCCCATTTGCCTTGATCCTTTTCAGGTGGACTTTAAAATTTAACAGTTTTGGTGTTTGCGGCTTTGGCGGGTAAGCAGTTCCATGGGTTTATAACTCTGTGGGTGAAACAGCATCTCCTGTTCTCAGTCCTACATTGAGGTTTGTTGCACTTGAAACTGTTGCTAATTGTTTGTGTTACATCTGACATTTTGAAGAAATTGTCAGGATCAAAATCCTCAAACTTGTTTAATATTTTAAAAGTTTCAATGAGATTCACCTTGTTATGCCTGGTTTACATTGTTGTTAAGCTTGTGACCCTCAACCATTCCTGATAGCAGAGATAACTTAGCTCTGGACTGACTTGATGCCCGGGCTGCAATTTCTCCAGAGCAGCTATGTCCTTCTGAAGATCTGGTCTCCATGCTTGGATTCAGTAATCCAAATGGGAAGAGAAGGAATTTATCAGGGGGAAAATGCCTTGCCATTACGACTATATAGCACTGGGAAAGGGTCAGGATAAGGAGTTGGGATGGAACGGGGGGAGAGGAATGGTGCCCAACCACTTGGACGGTTGGGGATTAAACGCTGACCTGCATGAAGCGAGACTGTCGCTCTACTGTCCAGTCCAGGTGGCTGGTAATCCAAATGGGGTGCACCAGATATTTGTAGTTGAATCTCTACCTTTTTTCTTCAAGTCAAAGGTACGCTTGATTATTCCAAAGGTTTGGTTAGCTTTTCTGATGGCTGCTTCTACCTGTTGTGTAACTTTTAGTGAGTGGTGGATTTTGACTCCCAGGTCCATTTCTTCACCATTATGCTTTAATGCAATAGCACTGATTTGGTAGTCGTGGCATGGGTTATTATGCCCCACATGCAAGGTCTTGCATTTGTCGATATTATAAAGCATTTGCCAGTCTTCTGACCATTTGTGGAGTTCATGTAGATCTCTTTGTAAGGCTTCAATATCATTATCATTCCCACTTTACCATAAATCTTTGTGTCATCCAAACTGCTTACGTGACATTAATTGGCGTAATAGAAGCTTCTCAGTACAAACTTAAAGAATCAGATGTGGATGGTATTTAAAATGATAGGCTATGAGCAGTTATGTTAATTTTTGTAATATTGCCCCAGAGGACTAACAAACTACCATAATCATAAAGCTCACCTATCTGATTGCATGCGTGAGCTTGTAAATGTTTCATGTACTTTATGGCCATTTCAATTATTTCGGTCTTCTCTATACGTCCCCGGCCTTTCTTGAGGTAGTAGGTGGGAATGAGACGACTAAGGTCAGCTAGGCAATTGTTCATCCTATCTCGCCGACGCTTCTCAATGATGCGATGTGACAGTGGGTCCTGCGAATAAAAATATCGACTTTAGCAAATTGCAAATAAAGTATAATGCTTTAGTAAAGACTAAACCTTCTATAATGTGGAACAGCAGCAGTATGCCACCACTATTGATACAAAAACAACACAAAGCAGCAGTATATCATATTATAATCAATGTAAAAAGTCATAATAGAAGCCTGCAGCAGCAATGCAATAATAAGACACAGCATTATTACAACGGTAAGAACAGAAATACAATACAGTTACCAGAATCAACAGAACAAACGACAAATGCCTTTTAAACTACTGTATATGGAACTCCCTACCGCCAATAGAGCCTGTATGTTTAAATACAGTAAAAATACAGCAGTACAACAGCACCAGAACAGTGCAATACCAGCATCCGAACCTGAGAAGTATAGAAGCACCACCACTACGAATACCACCTGAGGTGTATTACAGCGAGCAAGATACAAAATAACTGAACAAATGTATGGAAATCTTTGTACCAACAAGTGGAATGCACATCATCTTCAAGGCCAGATACTGCAAACTTCAAATGTCACTAATGGTTAAAAAAATAAATGCTTCAGTGAGTAAACCTCATTCTAATCACTATACCCCCCTTCCTCTCCCCAATAGTTTGTTAGCCCTTAGTCATTATTTACCCCCTCACCAAGGAGGGCTGCGTTCTGTGGAGAGGGGGTGGACAGCGGGCTGTGGGGAGGGGGGTAGACAGTGGGCTGTTGGGAGGGGGTGGACAGCCATTAGTGGGGAGGGGGTGGACAGCATTTTGTGGAGAAGGGGTGGACAGTGGACTGTGGAGAGGGGGGTGGACAGTGGGCTGTGGGGAGGGGGTGGACAGCAGACTGTGGGAAGGGGGTGGACAGCATTGTCTGGGGAGGGGTGGTGGACAGTGGGATGGGGAAGGGGTGGACAGAGGGCTGTGGGGAGAGGGTGGACAACAGGGCTGTGAGGCCGTGCAAGGGGACTTAAAGTTGGGGTGGCAGAGGCCAGCAGTCGCACCTGGGAGCCATCATCACCACACTCACGGGTTTGAAGAACCTGTGAACTGAGTTCCCAATGAAGAGCAGGGAGTAGAGTTGGAAGGTAAGAAGCAGAAGACTTGGGAAGGGTAAAAACATGTTTTTTTGTTGTTGTATGGAAAGTTTATGGAGAGATAATAGAGAGATCATGTGAATAGAAGTTTTTGTTTAATCTAAGTTTAAATAGTTACTATACCGCACTGCTGTATCTCCTGGCAAAGCTCTTCCATATGTTTTTACCACTCGATTAACAGGTGCGGTGAAGTCTCGGTGAATGAAGGAATGCATGAATATCCACCAAAGGCAACTAACTCTCCTGCTTGATGGGGTTCTGGGAGTTCTTCTACTCCCCAAGCCCGGCCCGAGGCCAGGCTCGACTTGTGAGAGTTTGGTCCACCAGGCTGTTGCTTGGAGCGGCCAGCAGGCCCACATACACACCACAGCCCGGTTGGTCCGGAACTTCTCTTAGAAAACAGTCCAGTTTTCTCTTGAAGATGTCCACGGTTGTTCCGGCAATATTTCTTATAGTCGCTGGGATGACGTTGAACCGCGGACCTCTGATGTTGATATAGTGTTCTCTGATTGTGCCTATGGCACCTCTGCTCTTCACTGGTTCAATCTTGCATTTTCTTCCATATCGTTCACTCCAGTACGTTGTTATTTTACTTCGAGCAAAAAAAAAATTACACAAAGCAGAGTAAGGAAGGATGAATCTGTTGTCAGTGAACCTCTGAATACATTGAAGATCAATGATCCAAGCCAATTCTTCAAGAGTGTGGTATTAACACTGAACCATATATCAGATGTCACCCTAACTCTACTTTGTAGTCATAGTCGGTGCATGCCGATGCACTCTGCATCATGCCTGGATTCCTGGAATTCTATATTAATCAAGTTTGAGAAAAACTATCACAGGCTCTAAACATCTTAAATTTGGAGACGGAGCCTATATATATACTGGTGTTATCCCGACATACTTAAGACGAAGATGGTGCCACTCTGCAAAGAAGATAGTAAAGCAGATGCCAAAGATTAGCTGCACAGTATATCATAATATAATCAATGGAAAAATCAATAGCTGTAACATCACACATCATAAAAATCTTTGAAGGAGTGTTAAGAAGATAACAAAACACATGTTATCAGCGTCAACATAACCCTGGAGAAGGCTCAGAACAGGGCGCTCCTGCCTCTCACAATTTGTAGACTACTGTGATATGGTCTTAGATGCTACGGAAGACAAGTAAGTAATTATCAACGGAAGGCTCCAAACCGGGAAGGCTATGTAGCAACCACAGAAGACAAGCAAAACGCTGATGTAATATACATAGATTTCACAAAAACTTTCGACAAATGTGACCATGGTGTCACATTCTGTGTACACAAAATGTGCATAAACAGAATTACTGGCAAAGTAGGAAGACTGATCTTTAATTTCCTACTGTACAGAGCTCATGCAGTGTAGTAGTCAAAAAAAGTAAAATCCGGATCATCCACCGTACAAAGCTCAGTTCCCCCAAGCTACTGTGCTTGCTCCCGTACATTTTTTCATCCCCATATCAGATACAGAAATGGATACAAATTATAGTACTGTATAGATGCAGATGACACTAGAATTTTCATGAGTAGCTTATATAGAGGACCCTGCAAACCTATAGTCTGATGTTAATCAGGATCTTAAATGGGCCACAGAAAATAACGTGATGTTTAATGAAGATAAGTTCCAGATACTAAGGTATGAAAAAAAAACGAAAACATCAAAACGGAAACCACACGTAAAACACAGTCACACCATACTATTCAAAGAAAATCAATTACAAAATTTGGTAGTGAAACCTTACTTTTATAATTTAAAGAACACAATAATGTAGCTGTCATAACTCCAAAACAAGTTAGATAAAAAGAATCTTTCAAACAAGACACGGTATACCAACGATGATACTTTTTAAGGATCCCGAGACTTTTCAACACTCTTCGTCTGCACATAAAGAGTATAACTGATCGACCTCTCACGGTGTTCAAGAGAAAACTTGGTAAACATCTTCAAAGGAGGATTCCTGATCAACCAGGCTGTAATTCATACGTCAGGCTAGGAGCAGCTGCGTCCAACTGCCTGGATAACCAAACCACCAACCAGGAGGCCTAGTCAGAGACTGATCCGCGGGGACATTGATCCCCGGAACCAAGAACAGGTAGGTAAGGTAAATGCAATAAGTAAATAAATGAAAGGAGAAATAAAACAGAGAACCAAATTTGAAACACAAAGAGATAGGAGAGCACAGAGGGACAGATAGCTACGTCCAATCATGCTTGCAAGAAGATCGGAGAAGTTCGAAGATCGGATCTGCGAAGTGAGATCTTTGCTAAGCTTCGTGGCGGGAGGGCGTGCCTCCGGTGCCTCGCGGCCATGACCAGCCGCTCTTCAGCAGTGAGCGGTGACTTAGACCTTGTGATCACCAGCGGGGCGATACAGCGTACTGGTGATAAGGAAATAGCTGAAACTGTTTACCCTAATGACGGGCAAGCCTGCTTTAAATCTGCAGCGTCAGATGCCGAGGATGGAAGACAAGAAATAACAGCACCATTTCAGGAAGTAATGAATCAGAAAATAAAAGGCGAAGTGGAGATGGAAACGGAAAAGGCGGAAATTAAAGGAGAGGATGGAGTAAATACTGATGCCTAGAGAAGTGTCAGGAAAAGGAACTATCTTTAGTCATTGCAGCGTTAAAACCTCGGTATTCATGTCTTCTTGGGGTTATCTTGAGATGATTTCGGGGCTTTAGTGTCCCCGCGGCCCGGTCCTCGACCAGGCCTCCACCCCCAGGAAGCAGCCCGTGACAGCTGACTAACACCTAGGTACCTATTTTACTGCTAGGTAACAGGGGCATAGGGTGAAAGAAACTTTTGCCCATTGTTTCTCGCCGGCGCCCGGGATCGAACCCGGGATCACAAGTACAGTGTGCTGTCCGCTCGGCCGACCGGCTCCCTTCCTTTATCTTTTTGAACCTCACCCCTCTTTTGCCTTATAATGGTTAACTGCCATTTTTTGCAGGGTGGGGGTGGAGGGAGGAATTGTTGTCCGGGGGGGTGGAGGAGTGTACGGGGAAGGGCGTGGTTGTGCAAGGTGTGTAGTTTAGACTGTAGAGTGTGTGGTTGTGAGGGGGGGAGGGAGGTGTATGCTACAGGTGGCGACCTAGAGCTGGTCACCCTTCCTCTCACCAAAGCTATCTGCCACTGATTGGAGTGACAGGTGACCCATGGAGGAGGTCATCTGCCTACTGGGCGGTATTATGGATGACTTACATTCTTGAAAGACTGTAAAAACTTCCTGGGTAGTCTTCCTGCTTCCCGCCGTGAGCAAGGGACGCCCGCCGGACACCAGACGCAGCTGTACGACCCTTAGGCCTCATGTCTAAGGCATTAATGTCATTCGTGTGAGACACTAGGGGTATATGCTATGTTCGTCTATAAGTTCGTGATAACTTGCTCAGCTGGGGTACTGCCACACGAAACCCCCAGTTATTAAATATTAATTATGCTTGTCATTTTCCCCTGACACAGGTGAGGGGACGATACGCCTCCAAGGCAGGAGCAGCTCGACCACCATGGTAAGGTACCGGAACTATTGAGAGGCGGGAGTCGGGGAGATTTATGTGTGGTCTAATAATATATGTCGTAGCTAGAATTGACCTGTTTAATTCCAATCCGTGTCAATGTAACTTGTGCGCTCTTTTCTTTGATTAATGTAGAAATATTTCGAGACTCGTGGTTCTAGAACTTCGACGTAACTAATCACTAGACGACACAGATCACTTCGTTGTGTGGTTGTGGTGAGAGGGGTGTGTGTGGTTGTTATGGGGAGGGGGTCTGTGCATGGTTGTGGTGAGAGGGGGGGTGTGGTTGTGAGGGGATGGAGAGGTGGGGTGGTTTTGGGGAAGAGTTTGCGAGGACGGGGTATGGTTGTGTGGGGGAAAGGTG